GTCTTATACGACTGGCCGAAACAACACGATCATAAACTCTCGCCAATGTTCAAAGGACCATTCAAGATTGTTCGTCCAGTCGGGGCCGTATGCTACGAGATCACATCGCTCACAGCACAAAGAAAGTTTCAGAAGGTCGTCCATGTGCAACATCTTCGTCCATATTACAAGCGAGATGCGCCAGTCCTCGAAGAAGACGTAAGCTCCGAGGAAGAAGAACCGGAAGTGGAAGTTCAGGATCAGGTAGATGATCGCTCAAAGGTACTTGACCAAAATGACCAAGAATCAAGTAGACATGACAGACGTCGCAACCGTCACCCTCCCAAAAGACTTGAACAATAACTTTTATACCTTACGTGTTACGCTTCAATTCTAAATTTGTACCTTGTCCTGAATTTCTCATTGAGCGGGGCCGAATGTAAGGTCTCATTTTGTTTAAATTAGTGGCGGCGCTGTTGTTGCCGCAGTTCGCCATATTGTTTTCTGTTGTTTGTTCTTATCGCCACAAGTTAAAGTTGGTAAGCATCAAATATTAAATTATTCATTAAATAGTTGCGTTATATTCGTTTATTTATTCATAACGTTGTCACTCGACGCCGATCTAAACCTTATAGAATAAGTAAGCACAATTGGTTAATGTTGCCTATGGTGACTAAAATGGCGGCTCATCTCTGATTCCAGCAAAAAGAAGAAAGAAAACAGTGGAGACGCACGTTCTAACCTAACCTAACCTAACCTATTCTAATAATTTGGTTGGTAATAATTATGGTAATTTATTAGAATAGGTTAGGTTAAAACGTGCGTCCCCACTGTTTCCTTTCTTCGGTTTGCTGGAATCAGAGACGAGCCGCCATTTTAGTCAACAAAGGTAACATTAACGCACAATTTTATCATGGCCGGAAAAAGTATGATTGTGAACTTTCTTATTTTTCGTCTCTGGTCCGAAAGTAGGGTATCGTTGAACTCGTCTCGGTCCCCTCAGTTCAGATATATACTCAAAGTTCCTAAATTCTATAGGTGGTAATCTATAGAATCCCCATTTCCCTAACTGTAATAATATTTTAAACTGTTTATTTGTATTACAGTTCTTTACTTGATTGATGATTGATTCTATTAACTAATTTGTTGATTGATTGTATTAACTTGATTCTTTAGATATCGAAAATTAAATAAANTTAAGACACATAATGTATGAAACTTCCTTTTCATTATAACATTGCGCTCGGGATGCTGTTGACCTTTTTTTTTTAGGATGAGAATTTCCAACTTCTACTTTTCTACTTATTACTTCTTTTTGCAAGTCAGCTCAACACTTTTTACTGCTATCATTTTCTGCGGTGGCCCGTACCCACCCGGTCCCATCTCTGGCTACACCCATCGTTGAGACCTGAATGTCGATCAAAACACCAATTGTACTGCATAATAAACAGGTATAACCTTCTCGCTGAAATTGTAGTTTTTTTTAATGTAGTGTAGGACCTACAAACACTTGTCTTTTTCTTTTACCCGCGACCCCCCATGTAAGACTTCACGACCCCCCTGGGGGTCGCGACCCACAGGTTGAAAAACACTGTGCTAAGTGATTCACGCCAATTCTGATTATACTTTTTACCAAAAACATTTAACCAAAACTTGTCCCAGAATATATACAAACTAGAACTATATCTTTGATGTATTTAAATAGTCTCAAGNAATTTTTAACGATACAATAGTCTTCGTTAGGCTTAACATCGACGAAAATTCAACGCGAAGCGGCACGCAACGGAGAAAAATTTCAACACGGGATAAATTAATATATTTTTTCGTACTTAATTGGTTATCCGAAAAATAAGTTATCCGAACAACCCCAGTCCCCAATTGATTCGGATAAACGAGGCTCTACTGTATTCTGGAAGAAAAGAATCGTTCCTGAGCGTGGCTCAAATTAGTAACTCACTAATTAAAATTAAATTAACAAATTTGGCTAAAAAATTATTGTTAATAAATTAATAAAGTTGGCTCGAAATGCGTATAAATAGTTTGAAATATATTTAATAAAGGTTGAATTGAAAGCCTAGGAGTCTTGGAAAACTGATTAAGTCGCAAAATCAGTTTACTGAATAATATTTAAACATTTAAATAACATTACTGGGAGTCCCAAAGACATTTATTAATTTTTTCGGCTTTTTTTTTAAAGTAAAATTATGCTGTGTTACGACATTTATGGAGTAATGTAATTTTTAAACTACGAGGAATTCATTTCACGCTGTAAATTTTATACGAAATAACGAAGAATTAATTACATAAGATTAAGGTTTAAGTTCGGATGTATTACATAATTACGTGTAACTCAATGTAATTAACTCTGATAATCGATAAATCTGTAAGATCCTTATTGTATAACTCAAGATTTATAGTATGCGACAAATGAAATAATCACTCACAAAAAGAAGTGTATTTAAAAATATGTAAGAAAAATTTTATTTAAAACCGAATTTATTACAAATAAGAACCGATGGGATTGAATCCTTTAACCTCGAGTTCGTTACCGTTGCGACGGAAAAATGTCTGCTTGACAATATTGACGCGGGCGTGTTCTGGGTGTTGGGGCTCCACATTTCGACCATAGCACCAGCCATGTTCCCAAGAAGAGGCTACTGGATGGAAGTACTTGTCTTCGGGGCCCAGTTTTTTACGGGATCTCAAATATTGGACTCGGCCTTTACCGCGAAGACCTTCTTTGCTGATACCTGAAAAAGAAAACACCCATGAACATATATAACAACAAAGTATCACAATTAACTTACCGTCATAAAGAAGTGCTCTATTATGCAGGCACACTGGCTTCATAGAAGTGTAGGAAGGCTCTGGAATGTCCCAAGGTTCGGTTACGGTCGATGGTGTCGAAGGTGGTGATGGTGTTTCGATGCGAGGCAAAGGTTCGGCCTTAATACGAGGCTCGCGCAGCGGAAGCTCATCCTCAGATTCTTCTTCGTCGTCGGACGAAGTGCGATCCAGATCGATGCCCATTCCAACTCTCTTCAGAAATGGATCATATTTCGCATGCCATTTTAAGCGAATAGACTGTTCCTTTTCGATGATTTCCTTCCAAAATTTCTGGAAATTTGGTTCTAAATATTTTCCTCTGTCCATTTTCGACGATATTTTTGTCTAAGCGGTGATTTCGCCGAGAAAATGTCTGTTGTTACACAATAATGCACTTCAACACTTTGTTACCGAACAGCAGATTATCGACGTTAGAAATTTCCTTTTTCGAGATTTTTCGAGTATATTTTCGAGATTCTGTAATCAGTCAATCAATTTATTAAAAAGTAATACAAAATAAACAAACAAAAGTACAAATAAATATATATTTCAAAAGAGAAGAGTATATAATAATTCTTATTCTAACTTCTTTTAAACTTAAAAATTAGAGGGGAACAGAAGAAAATTAAACTGCCTTTGTTCTCTAATCAATCCATCAAAACTCTCGCAGTAAAATTACAGCTGAAAAGAAGGATGATCTAGAATAACTGAAACAAATGGAAAAACAAATTTAAAATAAGAAACAATATATTAAAAAACTTTTTAAAGCAACTCAAAAATAATATATTGCCTAGATAAAACAGTAGCATAGGAGGAAAGCTTCTCACTCTCTACTTTATAAAATCGATTTATTACTGACCTCATACTCTCCGGGCGAATTTACAGTTCTAGGATCGAATATTGTCGTATGTTTCAATTTTTTACATTGATTTTCTGCCGTTGCTACGCTACTGACACTGTTACTATTGATTCCTTCAGTTTTCATGTTTTCTTTCATTCAGGCATATATAATGCATTTATGGTTACGGATTCAAACATAATACTAACAAGCTAAACTTTTAAAAAAATAAAGTTATAGTACTAAAATTTTAAAAATAAAGTTTTAGTACTAAATATAAAATTTCCTTTATTTAGTACTCGATAAGATGAATGCAAATAATTTCTCAATTTGTCAGTCTTATTTATAAGCAGTTTAGCATGTTTCTGATTACTTTCTCAGTTTGTAAATATCGATGATTTCAGAATCAATTTGTCTCTTTAATTAACGCGAATTATTTTAGAAAATATGTATAAATTTGTCAGACTTACGGTATTACTCATCTTAAACCTAACAGTAATGATAATGCGATAGTTCATCCTCAGATGATGATCGGGAGAAAAAATTCTCACAGCTTATCGAGCTAAGGCCATGATTTTAACAGTTTTCTCAAAATCTTCTGCTTGTTTAACTTGCAGATTTAACAATCTTTTGAAATTATCGTTAGTTTCTGAAGCGAGATCGGGTGCTTCATAGTAAAGTGAGAGGAACCGTTGTCTTATTCGCGGAGTTTTAGTTTTAATAAGAAGAGGATGTCTTGTATGTGGAGTCTCGTATTAAAACTGACAAAACTCTCCTGACGGACAGTTTTCTCTACATATAAGACACTGGAATGTGACATTATTATTATCGGTCCATGAAAAACCGAAATTTAAATATTCGTCCGAATATTGTCTATTATTTTTTTCCTTTACTACGTTTAATTTTCTGTTCTGTATGCGATGTATTTGCAGCAACGTTATTATAAATACTTTTTTATAATATGATAACTTTTAAGTAATACATCAACGTTTTGTGTTAAAATGCTTTTTCTAAAATAATAAATTTTAATAAAAAATGAACATAGTAATTATTAAAGTTACTTTTTAATTTAAAAAATATTGTATTACCTGATCTTATATATAATATCTGAGTTAAAGATGATATTAGTTATAATGTTTATACACAACACACAAATCAAGCACACATCAAAAATGGATTTTGTCAAACAAAATACAATGAATAACTTACAATGACGCTTGCTTCTACCTCGAAAATACAAGTAGCAAGAGTTGAAGGGAAAGTTTTGAGCATTTTTAACAGCAGTAATTTTTTGAACTTTTGAAAAAAACTTTAGCAAATTTTTCTATCATTTCTAAAAATCGATGTTATTTAATAATTCATGTTTCATGTATAACAGTATCATGCTCTTTAAACGATAATCTGTCATACTACATCCTAATACATTCATTTATACGGGGTAATTCATTTTACATAAAGCATTTTTATTTTTAAAGTAAAAATTAAATTTTAATACAATTTAAAAAATACATGATATCGAAATAACTTTTAAAATATTTTTCTTTCAAATTGGTCAAGAAGCTTAGAAAAATGTATACTGTATAGCCACTCTGAAATACTTTTTGGTTTCTAAAATTTTGGATTTTTTCTAAATAAAATTTCTTGTTTCCAAACAATTTATAAGTTCTTACCTTTTGAAGAAAACCAAAATATGGAATTTGTTAATTTTAAGTAGTAAAAGTAACATGGATATGTTGTATTATTTTGAAAGAGAATAATAATAAAGAGTGAATAAACAAATAAAATAGGGCACATGAAATCCATAATGTATTTACTGTCGAGACAATGTAGGACAGAGGTTGGCAACTGCAGCACACTGTGAAAAAATTTAAACTAAAATAAATCAAAGTAGCCTGTATCTTAAGGGGTAGCTGCCTAGGGTCGGTCGTATTCTACTCTCTTTTTTATTTTTCTCCTAACGCTCCTTTGCATCTCACCAAATTTAATTATAAAAATATTACTTTACAATCACAGATAAACCCCAATTTTCTTTAAAGAAAGTTAATGCATAAACATAACGTTAATAATTCAGAATAACAGATTTATTAAAACAAATTGACTAAAGAATTATTAAACTTCATTGAAAATACCTGTTTCATACATCATAAAAAGATCAAGCTTTTTATGCATCATGCTACATTTGCCGAACATTGAATCTTTAACATATTTAAATCTTTGAACACTCATTGTTCGCCTATCTATCTAATATCTATCTAAAATATTGTTCGGCAGACGTGAGATGTTCTCCCTGGCGATAGTTTTACAATATTGTAAAAATAATGGTACCATATTTATGAAAAACTGAAAAAACTGTGCTGTTTAAAATATTTGAAAGAACAGTTAAAGGAAGACATTTTGTCTGAATTTGTAGGCCTATATTTTTACTTTCCCGTCTTTTATAACAGAGGGAAAGTATGGAGATCAGTCAAAAACTCATCCCCCAAGATTTTTACATTTTTGGACTCAGGGCACTTTGAAACATCGCGAAATACAAAAAAATTCGGATATTTTATTCTGTATGTACGGAAGTGTTAGTGTGTATAAGATCGAGAGGGCGGGGAGATAATAGGGGGGTCGTGTGTATTGCCAACAGAGTTAGACTTAATGATGATTTTACTCGTTATTAGCATTTACAATTTTTTTAAAAAATAAAATTCACCCATACTCTCAAAATTAAGCTTTTGCCGTTTTAAAATAATTAAAAATATAAAAAGTGTTTTTAGTAAAATATGATTGCAGATAGTATTACGTAATGTTTTTGTAAACACCCTTCTTCCCTGTAACGCTTCGTTACGATTATCTGTACACTTATCCACGCATCTATATCTGCGTTACGTAATTTATAGACAGTTCTTATGTTTACAAAACAAAGAATAATTAAAAATTAATTTCTTTTATTGGCTATGAGCGAGACAGATATTTCGGTTAAAAATTATGGAATGTAAATGTTAAGAAAGTAAAATTTTAATAAGCAAAATAGAACCTAACTATAACAGAATGGATCTCAAACAAATTACTGTAATTAGAAAAATGTTAATTAATTAGAAAAATTAATAAATAATAAGAAATTAATTAGAAAAATATTTAATAAATATATAGCTACAGTACAGTACTCACAAAATATATGCGGATACGAAGAACTTTTAATTTAATGCTCAAAAAGTACTTTAAATCTTAAATTAAATCTTGAAAGCGAGACAGAGAAATAATGTCGGAACTTTCGGTTTTCTGGAGTGTGATATTAGACTTGTATGATAGGATGATGATGTGTCATAGATGAAAATCTAATTCTGATTGGCTATGACGTTTATCGATGCTTGTTTCTTTATATATATATATANAAACATCAAAATAAGCTCTTTACCATTGCATTGTTATATATACTCCTTTGCAATGGCAGACACAATTAACATCTTTACATTTAAATTATATTTATTAAAATCTTTTTGTTTATTTTCAATACTAATTTATATATATCTTCTGTAAAATTATTTTTTATTGATTTGAAAATCTGGATTTTTGAGGAGTTTGTTTAAAATAAATATTAACTAAATATTCTGTTAGAAACTACTTACTATGCATTTTCATGATTACCAACACATGTCATGTAAGGAACGTATGCTGCAATTGGTTCTATTTGCCTCATAAACTCATCTCCAGTTCTTGCATTATTCTGAAAAAGTAAAAAAGTCATTTATTATTATTATTATCAATAATAATAATCTCAGAACAGGCTAGAACTCTTTAAATTTACACTTTACTCCAGTTTAAGAAGCTTATTTAAATATTTTACATTATACTGTATTTAGAATCACTACATACTGTGTATTGCATTTAGAGTCATTTCTATGTAGATGTTTGAATAAGTATATCACTTTTAAATAAAGTAAATTTAATTAAATTTGATTATATTTATTAAAAATCTTATTTTCATGTACAAATAGTTTTGAATATTCTAAAAATGTTTTAATACACTTCAATTGGAAAAAAGGTAAAAATCTCTCTTAAATAAAAAAGTTTACATGCATATGTATTAGTTCAAATATACAAATTATATCTTTCCATCTAAAGAATATTGCATTTGTGATATTTAACTCTTTGCACTCTAAAACTTTAATATCAGACTTGTAATTCTAAGAAATTTTTTGAATGCAAGTACACAAACTTAGATTCAACAAACTTTTAATTATTCTTCTAGACTAATTATTACTGTATCAATACTAGATCTAAAATTATACCTGAAAAATTTTTAATTTAAATAACTGGCAGTTGTTCTCTGTGATATAACATCATTTGATTGACTATCATCATCGACATTCCATAATCCTTGGTATCACTATCAATTTAAATCAAATATTTCCTAATGCAAAGTTTACTAATAGTAAAAGTGTTACTATTAATTATGATAATGGAATATCTTATTTCTTAAGCAGATGCTTTTCTATAAAATAAAACTAGTATAATGTTTTATTTTGGATATTAATGAAAATGAACAATCACTCACCACACCAGGAATAGTTAATTATGTATTCTGAACCAATTATGGTGTATAGATGACAAAAACAAACAAAAACGAATGTTTTCAAACTTCTTCTGTGTCCTTCATCAGGTTTTTCAACAATTCCTCGAAGGACTCGGAAGGAGTTTGAAAATGTTCATTTTTGTCATCTACACACCATAATTGGTTCAGAATACATGATTGAAAATGAAGTTTAAATTATAAAACATCACATTGTAGATTCAATAAATAAATATTTCATATTTTATGTAAAGAAATTTAACTGATGTATACTTACTGAATCCATATCATAGGCAAAATCACCTTAAAAAGAAAAAAATTAATTATACATTTTTAACATCTTATATTTTAAGTTTCTAAAGAAAAAGAAAAAAATGTCAACAGTAATACAATAACAACACATACATATTAAATTAATAATTATAAATAATAACTATTGAAAATTAAGTAAGATAATACTTAATTAAATTATTGGCTTAATTACATATTGATAATTAAAAAAAATTGTTGTTATATTATTTTGTAAAGCTAATTATAAAAATCATCCTGAAAAAATACTTAAAATATAGAAAAACTTAATCATTAAGTAATGGCAAATTTTCTTTAAATTTACTTTCAGTTCATATTAAATTGAATTTCACTGACACTATATTATAGAAATAAAAATCATAAAATTTTAAATGATTTAAATCATTTATTGACTAGGATATGACAAACAATTTTTTAAGGCAAACTAATTAACATAGAATTGAGCAATATTTTGAAGTTTGCTACATTGGACTGTTATTTCATTATATTAGACTGAATGAATTAATTTTAAATCTAAATCTTCTGTTAAATTAATCTTCATTGTCTATAATGAAGTAACAATTTCATAAATGTAATATGCTATCATAGGATATTTTTTGACATGTAATATTTGCAATTGAATATTTATTAATAAACTCTAAATACCTTTAAAATGCAGTCTATTTTAAAAACTTCTCAAACGTTTTCGGTCAGATTAACAGACCTTCTTCAGGATCGAACTAATAGAATTTAAATTTGCCAAACGGAAATTCCAAAACGTTCTATAATCTTCTCATATTCAAATGTGCATGTCGATCCTGAAGAAGGTCTACTGTGATAAAACCCAAGTTGAAATAAATTCACAAATAGAAATTTTGGTTGAAAATAATTAACATTCATGCTTTGTACTTTCTAAGCTGCTAAGAAGTGTACCATACTGTTAATGTTTGCCTAACATTATAGAAAATGTCATTAAAAATTAAAAAAATCATNAACGAAAGAAGCTGGATGTTCATCAGTAACAACTGAAACTCATATCCAAAGACAAGCTACTTTAACTCAATTAATAGAGAAGAAAAAATTGTGGAATATCAACGATCCAAAGAAGTTCATTATTTGATTGGATAAATGATAAGTGTAAATATACAGCCATACTTTGTTGTATCAGATTTAGGATTTCAAAGATTACTAAAAAACTCGTTCTTAATTACAATATTTCCAGCAGAAAATATGTACAGTATATCTGAAAATAACATCCGTGATATATTTCTAAAAATTCAGTCAAAAATTCAGAAAGCTATTGATGATTCAAAATATACAGTATTTCTTTAGCCGCTGATATTTGGTCAGCAACTACAAATAATTTTTCTATTTTAAATGTAACATTCTCACTAGTTGAAGGATGATTTTCAGCAAGAGCTGTTTTGCGAATTGTTTGTTCCCTTTGAAGGTTCCCATACAGCTACACGAATCAGTGAACAGATAAACATAGTTCTTGAACGGTATAAGTTGACAAAAGTCATAAGATAATCTTAGTACTGAGAGATTCCGGAGCAAATATGGTAGCTGGAATCAGGAATNGCAAAGCTTTTTTTTCAGTTTACAGCAGTATTTATTACACAAAATTTAAGTAAAGGTTAACATGCCGATCTTGCCCCGGTCTCCCCTACGTCCAATTCGGTATAAGTCCAAACATCGGAAATGGTTTAAGGTCGTATACCAAGGTTCCACTGTACTTTCATATTCAAGAATATGAATAAAGTCCAATCTTCTTCGCTTTGCTCATTGACATCTGTTCAATTACATACGTTTTTGTTCTTTTAACATACGGAGCATAAATTATAAGTTATATAATTACTTTTTTGGTATAAAGACAAAATACGTTTTGTTAAAAAGCATGCTAACAGAAAGACGTTGTGTTGAAAACTTTATCCAAACATAAAAATATGAATTAAAAACCTGCAATTAAGAGACAGTGGTGCCATTTTTACATAAAACAATAACATAATAAATTTAATAATCGAGGTTAAAATCTTCATTACAATAATTTTCAAATATCCTTACAAACGATGAATTAATCGGATTGTTTATTTTTTTAAATACAAAGTTTATTGTTTAGACCAGGGATCACCAAAGTGGTCGATATCGACCCCCAGGGGTCGATGCAACATCATTGGGGGGTCGACGCGGCTAAGGGGTCACAACCTTTTTTTCTTGCTTATACAGAGATCACAACGTTTTTTTTGCTCATACACTTACACTTGTAATAAAACTTTACGGTAGGGGTCAATGTGAGGTTTTGGAAAGTGGTTGAGGGTCGACGGTTAGAAAAGTTTGGCGACCCCTGGGATAGGTTAATATATTTTTTCGTACATAATCGATTATCCGAAAAATAAGTTATCCAAACAACCCGTCCCCAATTGATTCGGATAAACGACGATCTACTGTATATACAAAGTCACGGTTTGAGGTGCCCCTAAAACAAGAAGTTAAGAAATATCATTATTATTTAAAACATTCATCAAACACTTCTGGAGCCCACGGAGTAACATGGAAGTAACTAAAATATACATTGTATTTTGCTAACACNATGAATATTTATTAAAAAGTGCATATCACATTAATAATAAGACTTTAGATTTATAAAAAAATTATTAATTTTCTTATAACTTACAAATATTCTTTTGTACTTATAATGGTCATTAATGCAGAAAACAGATTGTTAAATTATTTGAATCCCACCACTGTGTTTAATATACAAACAAGAGAAATGTTTTTTGAAAATCAAAAAGCAGGACAAAAGTGAAAATTTTATTAAAGCAATAGGACAGCTGGGACAACAAAAACAAAATAATACTTATGGCAGCCTAACCTTAACTTATATTATTCTAATATTGAAAAAGTTATATAAGTAAAATTTAAAAATTTTAAAATAGGTAAATTCTATTATTCAAATTATAATATATTTATTTATAAAAAAAAATAAAGAGAATTTTGATTATTTTTAAATACTATTTTGTACATAAACAATTTGTGTTTATGTACAAAACTATTGTGTGTTGAAACATTCAAAAATATTTCAAAATATTTAACTTACCAACATGTAATATTGCATCATACATTCCTTTTTGTGTATCTTCTTGAAGTCTTGGCAAAGACTGAGCATTTATATTACCCATATCTCCAAAAACTGCAAATTTTGGACTCCAGTTTGTACCTTCTTTCATAGTTGTAAACCAAAATATTGAACTCCATCCCATATTACTTCCACAATGATAAACTATTAAAATATAGGGAAAGTATAACATAAAAAACAATTAACTATTATAATAGCCATAATATTACAATTAGATTAATCATGTAAAAAGTAAAAATAATATTAACATTAAATAATAAATATAACATTATTATTAACAAACAGAATACAGTATAGATTATAAATTATATTAAAGAATTTTGCATTAAAAAAATCTCTATTTTTTTGTTCAACATGGTTGTTAATAATTTAAATATACAGTTCTTAAAAATAACCTTAGGTCACATAGAAAAGAATTAGCAAAATCTATTGCAAATTCACCGGGGAATTTTATGGCACTTCTGTAAACCCACATCATCAAAAACTGTGCTAAGAAGATATTTTTTTACAAATTTCCAATCTTTAATAGATTACTGCTTACCAATCTTGGCAATGGCATATCCTTCCTTAGTAAACAAGGTTATTAAAGATATACACAAAGTTTACTTCCTTTTAAACAAATTTTGCCATCTCCCTTATACTAATAATTCCAATGTCATAAGAATCAGACTAGGACTACTCAATTTCAAAGAGAGTTGTGTCTCCACCTCAAATTAGTAGTGTCTTGCCCTTGTGCATCATACTTTTCTGATAGCAATAGAGTTGTGCTGGTATCTATCCAACTCCTTTCAGGGGAGAATTTTTGAATTGAAATAATGTGACTTTTGGTTTTCACCAGAAGTTTGTATATAGTTAATCAGAGTCTCCTGCCCCTATTTTTTCCACATCTGGTCTCAGCTTTCATCTGTCTAACTCCATTCTCAAGATTAAGGGAAGATAGAGACAAACAGATGGATGACAGTAGGAATTTATAGGAATTTTTTAAATTTATAAGGTCTACAATTTAAAAAATTGTAGACCTTATAAATTTCTACTGTGCAGCCCAATTTGTTTGTGTGAAGAAGATACTACAAAGGAATATAATGATGTCCACTGGAAGTAAAACAGCCATATATTTTTTTAAAAGTATGTGAAACTCAAAGCAATTACAGTTTTAGTATTGTTTTATTTTTCTATTTCAGGTTTGATTTAGAATTAATTATGCTTAAATAATATCTGGGCATATAAATAAAAAAATTTTTATAATAATACATAAAATATTCTATAGAATAAATTAATTAGTGATATATATTATTAAATACAATTTGTTAAAGACACAGTTAAAGACACAGTTATATATTATTAAATACAATTTGTTAAAGACACAAAACATTAACAATAAAAAAAAATTGATTATTCTGAATAAGAAGCAAAACTGAAAGAATATATTCAATTAATCGAGCAATTGCAAAAGCTGTTATAGTAATAGATTTAATATATTACCATTTTAAGGGATATAGTCTGAAGTCAACATGTAGATCTCATATCATCAACTGCCTTCCTTACACACCACCACCAATTGCAGTTTTGAAAATTTAACTTTCAGAAGAGAAATAATTGAAATTACTTCCATAAATTAAAAACAGAAGCATTGACATAACCTTATACCAAACAAAAATGTTATCTTGCAATAAATTTTCTTTGGTTTAAAAAGAAAAAAATGAATGCCACTTCTATACAGAGTTCTATAAGATTTAAAATTAAATACAATTTTACTTGAGTTCAAAGCTTCTAAACAGATTTTATATGAAATATATTGATTGGTTCATATGAATCTCTACGGATTTCAAATAACTATGTCATCAGGTATACTTGATGGTCAGATGCCCAAAGCAGTTAGTGTCAAATTTACAGCTTTGGGAGATCCAGAACAGAATCCAGGCAAGCAACTGCCCAGAAATTTAAATCAGCATATTTGGAACAGACTGCTTGTCTGTCCCAGATGTTGAGCCCCATCTCTCACTACCTGACCACCACTGAGGGTCTGTCTGAACCCAGGATGAATATGAATAAAAAGGCTCTCTTATTGCCCACATAGTGGAAGAGGGAGGAGGAAAATATAACTGAATCAAAGAAGCTAAAAATTTTATTATTACATTTTGTATGCAGAAATCAAATTAGTATGAATTCAAATTAATATCAGTTAAGAAAATTCTTAAATTATTTAATTTGAAAAAATAATTCCATGATCACAGAATGCAACTTTAAAAGCACCTGAACATTGACATTGTAACTTTCAAAACAGTCACATTTTCAATCTCAAGGTTAAGCTTCAGAAATGAACTTGTTCTATTGAAGACCTAAAAATGTTTGGATTCTAAGAGAAATTTTTAAAATAGAGCTTACATTTTTGAAGCCACATAATAGCCAAATTATATTGGGCTAAAAAAAGTAATATAATATNAATTTTATCCTCTTATTAAATATTTGTTAAAAATTAATTTTTTATACAAATAAATATTAATGTAAGTTAAATATTAAAAATACTAACTATAAAAGTATTTAGGTAAATGCCCCTAGCTCCTTTCAGAGCTCAAAGTAGGGTACCCCCTATGAATGCCTCTGCCCCCCATAAAATGACTTGGTATTTGATTTTACCAGAGTTGGGAGTCTGAGTAGAGTGTTTTTTACTGACTCTGCAGCCCTGGTTCTGATTACCAATTTTTTCAGTATATGCATTTTTTATGTTATGGATGTTTGATACAGGTATGTCTATAATGAGTCTGATATCTGATCTGATGGATTGTTTTTTCTTGTGATGGATTGTTTTTCTGTGATTGTGGCACAGTCATAGTATACTTAATCTGTTGTTTTCTATGATCATCTGAGGTATACACAGCATGGTTGCTGGGTGTATTGTCATTTGTGTTTGTACACAAGCATTTGCTATTTGGTTGTTGTTTTAAGTATTCAGTTTGTAGCCAGTATAGGTTTTATACATAAAATTACAGTAATTATTTTCAAAAAATTTATGCTTGCTTCTAATATAATTTCTCTTAAGAATAAGTGATGAATATTAATCTTAATAAATCATTACAACTTCCACTGTTTTTATTATTTACCTATTAATGGTTGGTTTCTTCACACTTGTTACATGTAATTTTATTACCTTTTTATTATGAAGATTATATACATAGTTAATTACTCTAGTAACAGATAAAAAAATTTTGGTTAACCTGATAGTGTTTTTATTGGAACTTTGAAACTTACAATTTAAATTTTAACTAACTTATTTCCCATCAAATTATAAATTATTCTTAATTGGAGTTTTTCATTCTCAAAACTGTTGATGAATTTAATTACATAGCAACCTGTAAACAACTTTAAAATATTTTTTATAAAATTATATAAAAATAACAATGTCACTAATTGTTGAACTAATGAAATATTGCATATGGTTTTCAGAATGTTTATTACAGCAAATTTTATTAAGATTATTATTTAAATAAATAATTTTAATTAAAATTACAATACCATAAGTATGATTTGGTAATAAATTAGTCAGAAGAACTCTATGAATATAAAGGACTCTTTTTTCTGATCCACCATCAACAAATTTTGTCATCATTCCTTTTGCTCTTTTATCTAATTTCATATCACCATATTCTACTATTGAATCATTTGTTGAATTCATAGTTACCCAAGTCACAATCATCTCTGATGGTTTAACTGTAAAAAGAAAGAAATATACATATATAAAATAATAATGATATAAAATATCAGACAATAAATTTTATGTTGTCATATTTCAATATCATAGTTTAAACTATAATAATACAATACTTTGTACAAACCATGAGTTATTTGTTTTTGAAAACAGGTATGATTATCTGATGATGATGCAAGTTATCTACCAATTTTAACTTACAATTATAAAAACTCATCAAACAGCTTTTCCTTTATCTAAACTTAGCCAAAGTATCTTTAAATAAACATGAAAAATACTTTGCATGTTGCAGACATTCATCTGCCATTACAATTTTTCTTAAACTTCAAAAGCACATTATATATATATTTATTTATTTGCCTTGCTTTTAGTTTTCTTCCACTCAAAATTGTGGATTGATGAAGTTTTGTTATTATTATTATTATTATAATTATTTTTTGCTGTATCATTCTTGGATTATATCTGGTATCAAATCTCATAGGCAGGTCCAAGAGACCAGTACAAAACCTTACTTTGGAGAAATTTTCTAACAATATGACAAGTTGCCAGAATGCTAGCTTTTTGTTAAGATTTATGTAAATTTGAATGAATGTCTATTATCTTCAGGCTTTTGTAACAAATATGGGATAACTCCTGTGACAGAGAGAACTATTAGGGATGATATGGACTTTATTCATCATCATCATCATGTTGCAAATATGCTCAGCTGATACTGGTATCAAGGAATAGCTACCCAGATAAGTATTACATTAAGCTTCTGTGTCATTGCTATGTCTAGAAACTTCCTAACAATGTGACAAGTGTTCAATATTGAAGCTTTCTGTAGTGTCATGTATTATATATGTTTTTATTAAGTTTTAATGTTTCTAGGACTTTTGTGTAGTGTATGTGGTATAAATACCAGTGGAAGAGAAGACAATAGGCAGAATAAATACACTATCCTCCTCCACAGTTACCTTATTTCTTGGACAAGTAGCATGTATTTGTTGATTTTTTTCAGTGTGAGCATTTTTCATATAATAAGTGTCTATTATGATGAACTGTTTTATCTGTGATTATGACTGTCATAGTATATTTTATATGTCTCATTTTATAATATTGCCTATGGAGTATATTTGTAGTAGATACTTGGGTGTTTAATAATCTATGTTTGTTTGCAAACTCTTGGTGTATTATATTTGCTATTTGATTGCATTAATAGTAGTAATAAAGCATATTTATAGTGTTAGTGGAGTGTATCCTACTTGGCTTGTATATTTGTATCAAATGCTATATTGGATCAAGATCAAGGCAAAGTTACAGAAAAAGAAAATTGTTTTTTCTTTGATTATGTGCTATTTGTGTGTATATAGGCATTTCCTGATTATGTGATAAGTGTTGTAAAACTCTATTGTTTCTAAACTTTTGTATAATTTATGTGATATGATGTCCACAAGAAAGAACTATTGAAACAATAAGTACCTTATCCATTCTCCACAGACACTATTTTATTGTTTTGTTATACAGACATTATTTTGTTATAATTCATTTATTTTAAATACAAAATGCATCAATTTAATTTATTAAATATGTAGTATTCTTTGTAGTATTTGTGTTTAGTAGTTAAATTATTTTGACCCAATTGGATTTGAATATTTTTGAAACATTCCTTTATTATCCCTGCTTTAAATAAGTACTCTATTTTTCTGAATGAGCCAGACTAATTGATCAGAGTACATATTTTTCTTTTCTGAACAAGGAGCTGAAGTAGCTAGCTAGATCACACACTTTTTAGTTGGACTAACTCTTCTGGAAGAGCAAAATTGAAGTGNAAAGTTTAAATCAATTTACTGATCTAAATTTCAATCTATATTATAAGATCTGAATGATTTAATCTATTATTATTACTTTTAATATTTTTATCATTTATTATTTTTGATAACTTTTTTGTAACAATGTAGTACATATATAAGTAAAGAATATGACTTAGATTGGAAGCATTATTTAATAATAATTTATTATTATTAATATAAATTAATGAATTAGTCTTAAAATAACTAAAAGATAATTATCTTTAGCTCTTAAGACTTTTTGGCAATTTATTGAAATAATATATTATAAATTTCAAAAACATGCAATCTAATCATTAATCTTAAATATGACAAAAATACAAAAATAATACTTTAAACTACAATATCATTTTTCTATTAAAAAAAATATCAATTGATATCATTTCAAATAGAAGAATTGTGTCAACTGATTTTATATATCATTGTTTACAATAATCACTTGATATTCAATAGATATTTGTTGATAAAATCAACAAATATCTTTATAACGTCAGAAGATATTTGTTGATAAAATCAACAAATATCTTCTGATGTTATAAAGTTTTATTATTTAATATAAATTAATATTTTTTAAATGAATATTTCAGATTTTAAAACGAATCACACAACATTTAATACCAACTAATGTAATTTGAAGTAGCATGATTCTAGCTGATTTTAAATAATTTTTGCTTTCTTTTTTTGGAGGAAAAAGCCAGAAGCACTTCAATCTACAAGGTCTATTGTACATCCTTGTAAGTAATTTACTTCAGATACTCGATCTTTCTAAAAAAAGATAAGAGACTTCTAAAAAGAAAGCTGGCAGGTGTCAGAGTTTGAAAAAGAAGACTGCCCAAGCAGAGAATTGAACATTCATGTTTGAGATGCAGAGAAGTCTCATGGAAAAAGTTGCAAAACCAGCAAAAGGTTAAGGAAGAAAGTTTTAATCAACACAAATATTTACAAGTGATCAAAGTTAGTCATGATAATAACCAGAAAGGAAACAATTCTTTCCAAAAGCAACAAAATTCATGGTTCATACAGAAGAAAAACAAGTAAAAAGTAAAAATGACTTATTCTGTTTTAAACCAAAAGATTATTCCACAGTTTTATAAACAACTTAATTATCACTTTGTGGAAGCTGGAACCAGTTACTAACACTACACCTTTCTCACACTTCTACAATGAATATTTGTTATCACAAATATTTTCAGTCTCTTTCAGAGGCCTGCTTCAGATTACAAGCATTGCTTATCAAATATTGACCGAGATTTTTTAAATTTAGAATGTTCTATTTATTCTGTTCTTCTGATGTCATATCATTTGAACAAAGTATATTTATGATTATAATTTATTCAGCACTTGCAGATTTAATTGCCAAATATTGCTGGCAATTTTCTCATGCCCTGTACCCATAACAGTTTTTCTCTTGTGAGTGCAGGGCAACTGGTTCAGAGAAATGCAAACAGCATTCCCTGACAAATGCTGAAATGGATAGTGACAAATGTCTTCTAGCCCTTTTATTAACTTAATATATTAAGTATTAGTTAAAAATTACTGCTTAAGAGTATTACTATTATTAAAGATAATTATAACATACATGATGAAACTGATATGATCTAATTTTGTAATTGTAGAAGACTATATATAGTACTAAAAGTATATTAACTAAATTAATATATTTTTGGTAACTGAGTAACTGATAACAAAATGTTCACAGTTAAATTGCCAAATTACAAAACAAAATGATTAATCAATATTTACCAATATTGTAAATCATAAAATAATAGCTGCAATAGTCCTGTAGATACAACTGAAAAGGTTTATTAAAAAACGAATGCTGGATTTTAAAGATTTATGTATTAATTTTCATAAAATTTGGAAGAAATGGTATTTGACATTAAATATTTTAAATGATGTGATAAAATAAAAATTTTTTACAAAAAACATACAAGTGGTTTCAATAACTATCTAGTGCTAGTTGTTCCAGTAAAATCCACAGTTGAAGTAAAATAAAATTCAGTTCACTTTAGTACCACACTATAAACATTATTAATGTTTGAAATTAATTTTGAAATAAGTTAAATAATTCAGAGAAAGATTAACAATAAAAAAGTTAACTGAAATTTGATATTTTAATTAGTAAAGAAAATTTATTAGCTCTTTTTAATATAGTTCCTTTTAAAATATTTTCATCTGCAAACAAAAACTTTGTTTTATGGATTGCATTTACAATATCATAAATGAAATCATGAATTTCTTTAAATGTGTCTTTATAATTATAATCTATACATCATCTATAAAATTAACACAAAAAAAAAATATGTGAAACAGTAAATTTAAGAAAATAATTGATTGAAAAGTCAGTTGTAAACATGTAAAAAAGTTTTATATCGATATAAAACTTTAAAATATAAAATCAGGAAAAAAATATCTATAACTCAAAAAAAAATAAGAACTGATTTTAGTTTCTGATAAAAGTGAAAAACAACAGTTTTAACTGATAAGAGAAGAGCTAAAATAAAATGATGATTATGCAAATTGAAGAAATGAAATACAAGCCTGCATTATATTTTAATAGTCATGCAAAAATTGATTTTAGATCTCTCTCTTTTTTTTAAATAATTTTAAAAAATAAAAACAAACTATAAAACAAAACAAAAATCAATCCTTTTTCTATCAAAGTTTAAATCAATTTACTGATCTAAATTTCAATCTATATTATAAGATCTGAATGATTTAATCTATTATTATTACTTTTAATATTTTTATCATTTATTATTTTTGATAACTTTTTTGTAACAATGTAGTACATATATAAGTAAAGAATATGACTTAGATTGGAAGCATTATTTAATAATAATTTATTATTATTAATATAAATTAATGAATTAGTCTTAAAATAACTAAAAGATAATTATCTTTAGCTCTTAAGACTTTTTGGCAATTTATTGAAATAATATATTATAAATTTCAAAAACATGCAATCTAATCATTAATCTTAAATATGACAAAAATACAAAAATAATACTTTAAACTACAATATCATTTTTCTATTAAAAAAAATATCAATTGATATCATTTCAAATAGAAGAATTGTGTCAACTGATTTTATATATCATTGTTTACAATAATCACTTGATATTCAATAGATATTTGTTGATAAAATCAACAAATATCTTTATAACGTCAGAAGATATTTGTTGATAAAATCAACAAATATCTTCTGATGTTATAAAGTTTTATTATTTAATATAAATTAATATTTTTTAAATGAATATTTCAGATTTTAAAACGAATCACACAACATTTAATACCAACTAATGTAATTTGAAGTAGCATGATTCTAGCTGATTTTAAATAATTTTTGCTTTCTTTTTTTGGAGGAAAAAGCCAGAAGCACTTCAATCTACAAGGTCTATTGTACATCCTTGTAAGTAATTTACTTCAGATACTCGATCTTTCTAAAAAAAGATAAGAGACTTCTAAAAAGAAAGCTGGCAGGTGTCAGAGTTTGAAAAAGAAGACTGCCCAAGCAGAGAATTGAACATTCATGTTTGAGATGCAGAGAAGTCTCATGGAAAAAGTTGCAAAACCAGCAAAAGGTTAAGGAAGAAAGTTTTAATCAACACAAATATTTACAAGTGATCAAAGTTAGTCATGATAATAACCAGAAAGGAAACAATTCTTTCCAAAAGCAACAAAATTCATGGTTCATACAGAAGAAAAACAAGTAAAAAGTAAAAATGACTTATTCTGTTTTAAACCAAAAGATTATTCCACAGTTTTATAAACAACTTAATTATCACTTTGTGGAAGCTGGAACCAGTTACTAACACTACACCTTTCTCACACTTCTAGCAATGAATATTTGTTATCACAAATATTTTCAGTCTCTTTCAGAGGCCTGCTTCAGATTACAAGCATTGCTTATCAAATATTGACCGAGATTTTTTAAATTTAGAATGTTCTATTTATTCTGTTCTTCTGATGTCATATCATTTGAACAAAGTATATTTATGATTATAATTTATTCAGCACTTGCAGATTTAATTGCCAAATATTGCTGGCAATTTTCTCATGCCCTGTACCCATAACAGTTTTTCTCTTGTGAGTGCAGGGCAACTGGTTCAGAGAAATGCAAACAGCATTCCCTGACAAATGCTGAAATGGATAGTGACAAATGTCTTCTAGCCCTAAAATGATAACCTGTACATCTTAGTATAAAAATAAAAAGTATATATTTGTATATCATAGTATGTTCATTTATAATTTATTTAAAAGAATGTCAGCAAATATACTCAATATGCTTAATTATACCTAAAGAAAAATTATAGATTAAAACATACTATCCATTTTGACCCTCCAAAAATCTGAAGATCCTTTCAGTTAAAGTGTCATAACAATAACATTGAAATCCTTGCAGTAACCTCAACCTTCTCTTTAAGGTAAGCACACACTTAAGAAAACAGATAGAGTGAGTGGGTGTGGATGAAGACCAGTATTGTATCCATGTGCATCATAACTAATGGACATGTGCAGACTAGGAGGATGGGTGGATAGAAAGAACAGGTCTCATGGAAAGAATTCCATTGTGCATTCTCAAGGAGGCAACATTTCTGCCCCTCTGCTTCAAATTAACAAGGCCAATACCTCAGATGCCAAAATCTCTTGGCATTCATTAACAGACATCACTTTTTTTTAGGAGAGCACTGTCATGAAAGCTTACAAAAAAATAAAATTTCTATTGTGCTTGTTTCTCTTATCACAGCATATGATTTAATTTATTAAGTGCAAAACTACTAAGAATTATATAATTTTCAGCATCCTTTTCTAATAATCTAGACCAGGGCTTCTTAAACTTTTTTTATTCATGACCCCATTTATGATTGTGATTTTTTTCATGACCCAAAAATATAAAATAAAGATATATACAAATTTACAAAAACAATAATGGTGTGCTACCACAGTTCACTCTTGTGTTACAATGGAACAGAGACAACTGAATACACTGAAAAGTGACAACACTACACTAGTTCACACTACAATCAGTGTTGCTGAATCATTGTCTCGCTGCACCAGAAGTGACCCAAAGCATGCCTCACTGCAACTCACGAAATTTATGACACAAAGCATGCCTCACTGCAACTCACGAAATTTATGACACAAAGCATGCCTCACTTTCAAACTCATTTTCAAACTCTCACAAATTATTTTCAAAATTTTGCATTAAAATCTCGCGACCCCAAGATTTCACTAAGTGACCCCAAATGGGGTCGCAACCCATAGTTTAAGAAGCCCTGATCTAGACCACTAATTCTTTATACTCATACCAACAAAAACACCTTGTCTGAATATTTTCACTTTTTATTTTGCTGTAAATTCTGCCTGATCTGCTATGCAATGTGACCAAGTGCATGCATCAAACCTATGTGATTCTACTACTCCATCTATTCTACTCAAGTGTACACCAACCTTTAAATATAAAATACAAAATTTTTAAAATATTTTTAGTAATTAATAAAATATATGCACATTTCTTTTTAAAAGATACAATAAAATGGGTCATTGGATGGACAAAAAGTAGAACATCAGTATTGAATAACTACTCACTGTTTAAAAAACTGGATTTAATTATAAATAACAAAACAATACCAGTAATATCCAGCAATTTACTATATAATAACAAAAACAAATGCTTTTGATGATTTTTAAAATCATCATAATTGTAATGTTTGCCGCCTGTGTGCGATTGTTGAGGCAGTCGAGGGATTGGGACAATCGTGTGTGGGCATGAAATACTCACTGAGACAGGTTTTCCATGCTTTTTATTGTTTAATTAATTATTAAAGATTTTCTTACAAAAGGGCTAATTCTCTGCTGCCACAATTATTGCAGAGAGAAACCAAATAAAGTCCGTTTCTTAGGCTGTTTTCTCACAGTCCCTCATTATGTTTTTGAGATTGCCAGCCCTGGGGTGCACTGTACAGCTTTGAAAGGATGGTTTGGTAGTAGGGATGATTCTTGAAGCAGGAAAACAATTCCTGGGGAGCAAATGCAACTCCAAGGGAGATGAAAATCCAACAGCATATGCTTAGAGAAATACCAAGTGATAGGAGCAATAAACAAAGATTCAAGAATGTCCCGTTCTCGAATTGCATGTTTTTATATGTTTTACTCCCCAATTCCACTTTTTGATTGGCCTCCCCTTGTCACCTGGTGACAATTCAAAATTTTTGGGGATGCGGAAGAGGTCAATCTGGTGACTAAACCCAATTCCTTTCTAACTACATTTCCCCCAACTTTGACATTCTCCTCACAATTTATCTTTTGTTTTAAATTTAAAAAAAAAAAAAACAAAAAAAAAACTTTGTTTAAATGAGACTTGCTTTGTTTATTTCTGAAAAACGAGAGCTTTATTATCTCGTTTGTCAACATTTGGACCTTAAAGTTTGATTTCCATGCAGGACCTCATATAATTGCTGAATATTACTATATTGTTACATCAGTGTTGGATAAGAAAGGAAGATGGGATAGACTAAATAAGGGAAAGTGGACTATGATAACAGTGGTTGATGTAAAAGAATAAGGAGATATTGTCAGGCAAAGGGAATCCTTTTCCCCGTTGTTTTAACCAAACGTTGGTAATGGTATTATTATAAACACTATTTAATATCTGTGTTTTCTTATTATTAATTTTATTATGACATCAACGTATAAAATGATATTATTTAATTTAATTAATAAACTTTATTTTAAATAAAAATGGGTTAAGCAATGTTAATTTATTTCTATCGATTTGTTAAATTCTTTTATCAATAAATCTCATAATTAAGTGATTATTATTAACAGAGGTCTACAAAATTTATTAACAGTAAGAAGGATACTTATAGGGTATTTACCTAACTGTTTAATGTATAGATAAATTAAGGCTTATTATGTAACAACACTTCTTAATTAAATGTTATATATATCGCCTTTATAATGTCAACAATTGTAACTAATAGGCTACATACCTCCATAATTCAGATGAACTTGCTCCGGTTGAACCAGAAGCTGACACGAAACTACAACAATTTGTATTAAAACCAGCAGAAGCAACATTTTCACTCCTCTGCCCACTAACTTTTATTCTTAGCATCGAGTCGCATCGAACTGTTTATATTTTTGTTGTTTTATCACCTGGAATGACGTCACGACTTATGACAGATCCAGTCGTTGTACTGTACTTTAATCTCTTTGTAATCAAATAATTATTTTAATTTACAGTGTTGTGGATATTTTAATTAAAAAAAATATGTATATTTTAAAATAATTAGTTGTTCTAGATAATCTTTGTATTGTATTTTATCGAAAATATTTGGATTTTTAACACCAAAAGCACGTGATGTGCAATAGCTTTCTAATTGTGGAACGAAGGCCGATGAATCTTCGTCAATTTAAAGAATTTCAAGGTTATTTATTACAACAACAAAATGATTGCATGAGAAATGAAATTACTCAGTTATTCATTTTCGCTTCGTTGTAAATAATAATCGTATTATTAAAAATAGTATTTAAATTGAAATTTATGTCTATTTGCTTCACTTCATTACTTCGAATTCTTTTGTTTTGCGATTCCATGTAGTGAATTTCAGGATATTAAACAACATCCGGTAAATCTAGAATTAAATGAAAGTTTTAATTAAAAATACGTGGAAGAAACTGAACAGTCTTTTCTGTGTTTGTTCCTGGTGATTGGATGCAAAGACGTGTTTAATTTTTGCCACGTGTTTAATATTTTTAATGTGAATTTTATGTACTTAATTGAATTTAAATGGAAGTTCTTTGGTATTTAGATTGTACAATATAAATGTTGATTTTACATTTATATTAGTTAATAACTATTATTCAATATAGTTTACTTTTAAAAACAGTAAAGGAATGTCCTCATTTTAAGTTTGTTTAGAAATTTCATAACTTTTTCTACAGGATGTTCGTGAAAATAACATTTTAAAAAATTGATTTAATGGGGAAAAAAATTAAATTATCAACGATGGGGGAATACTTGCTTTAATAGCACATTTTTGTTTGTTTATATAAAATACAAGATGGGTGACTGAAATGTTAAAGATACCAGTCGATCTCGCTGAAAACACGAATTCGAATTCGGATTGGCTCAAATTTTTTTAGGTGGGTTGATCTGGATATTCGACCACCATTCCTCATCGCCCTCATCCAGTTCTTATTGATCAAACTCATAATTGGCATGAAAAAGATTGTAATTATCATTAACAGATAAGGAAAAAATAAGATACTGTATTTGGATAAACTTGAACTAAAATATAATGATATGAAAAACTAATTTTTAATTACAAAAAAAAGAAAAAGTTAATTATTGCGTTTTAGCCTACAGAGTTTCTTAATTTTGGCGATAATCTTTGAACGTATTATAAAATAGAGGAAGGACATGCTTAAAGTCAAAATGGAAGACACACTCTCTGATTCCATATTTCGCGGGAGCCAGTGCAAAATACATAAACGAGGCCTTTTCGAGACGCCAAGGATCGAGAATAAACCAAGCGCAGGACCTTTCTAAACCATTGTAAGAGTTGAGTCAGCTTCATACATTTGTAACTATCAATACATATGCTACATAGATATGAGACTTGTGCAAATACACAGATCACGCAGGTGCTCCATATCCAAAAGAAGGGCAGGACCTGTTTTGAATACCATGTGATAATCTATTCTTGATATCCACAGGACAAGAAAAGATTTTAAAACGAAAAAAAAAGCATTTCTCAATTTGTGATTAAGAGCCTAAAGAATAGTAAGGCATCCGGTTTGGACGAAATTACGGCTGAAATTTTGAAGCGTGGAGGGCAACCCATGTTGGAAAAGCTAACGTTATTGTTTAACATGTGCTGGCAATGTGAGCAGGTTCCAGAGGATTGAGAAGGGACGATATAGTCAGAATTCTTAAGAAAGGAGATATCTCCTAGTGTACCGACTGTTGAGGTATCATTCTCATTTCTGTGCCTGGTAAAGCATTTTGTGTGGTCCTCCTTCGACGCCGGAGGATTGCCCTCGATCAACGCTTACGGGAGGAGCAAGCTGGGTTTTGCTGCGGAAGATCGTGCAGCGAGCAGATCTTCTCCCTTCGAAATATCATCGAACAATGCGTTGAGTATTGGCCATCAATTTCATTAAGTTCAAGAAAGCTTTTGACAGTGTTCACTGCGAGTACCTGGCGGCTTGCGATTATATGGTGTACCGACAAACTTTGTCACCATTTTCAAGGCCTTGCACCTGCATTCGAGTTGTTGTGTCAAGACTGAAGGTGGTCATACGGATTTCTTTGAAATTACGACAGGAGTAAGGCAGGGTTGGGTCCTGTCCCCTTTCCTCTTCCTCATCGCCCTTGATTATGTCATACGCGGGGCGAAGAGTCCGATGAGCGCATTGGGGCATCCAATCCACTGGTTTGACCAGAACCATCTTGGAGATTTGATGAACGATATCGTCCTATTAGAAGAAAGCGAGACGATGCTACAGCACGCCACGGCCACATTGGGTCGGGAGGCACACAAAATTGGCCTCAGGGTAAACGCCGTAAAGTGAAAAATATGCACGTATGTAAGGCCAGGAACATACATGCGTAAAATTCGGCTTAAAATCTAGCCTTTCCCGTTAATTGCAATGAGGAATCCAAAAATATAATAAGAAATAGGTGTCCATGACTTCCTTTTCGAGATATATGGGGTCAAAGCGACAGTGTCCATGTCCTGACGCGATTGAACTCGTCGAACCGAATTTAGGGGGGGAAGCATTGCGCGCACCTAATTGAATTGGGCGCCAAAGACGAACAAAACACGTGAATAAAGCAATCGACACCAAGCGAATGTAAAGTTCGCCTGTCCGTGCCCGGGTGAGACTATGCAGACGAGAATCTAGTGGCGAGCGAGAGGTTGAAAGCGTTAAATCTGTCTTAACTAAATTAAAAAGGTAAAATATACTAAATACATAAGTTAAGTTGTAAATACTATAATTCAACTTATGTATTTATTATATTTTATCTAAATGCATCACATAACTCAATGATATTCTATATGATGATTGTTTTATCATCATATTGATAATTTATATGTAACTTTTTATTAGATTAGTGCTTTAATAACGAAAGAATTATTTTAACAGCTGTTTGATATGCAATAAAAATTTATAATTATAATAATTTTATATTTTTAATTTTATATTAAATAATAAGTAATTGCTTTCTTATTTAAATTTATTGTGCTGTAATTAGAAAAAATTGTAGACCTATAAATTTCCACTGTCATCCGTTTGTCTGTCCTTCCTTAATCTCGAGAATGGCGCTAGATGGATGAAAATTGAGACCAGATATGGAAACTATAGGGGCAGGAGGCCACGATTAACTATATACGAACTTCTGGTATAGACCAGAAGTCACGTTATTTCAATTTAAAATTTTTCCTGAATGGTATAGATAGATAATCTATTGCTAACAGGAAAAGTATGATGTACTGTACAAGACCATACCAATTTGAGATGGAGAGCATATATTTTAAATTAAATACATTAAAAATATTGCCACGGCTCGGTCTTCCCACCGTGTCGTTCATGGGGTAGATGTTAGAGGCTTCGCCTATCGAGCGAACGTCTCCTGTTCGAACCTCATTGATGCAGGTTTCTTTTTTTTTTGTGGGTGGGTAGTGTTCTCCCGGTCTGAGAACATATGTAAATACTAACAAATTACCATGTTTCTACCATGTCTCTGTAGTATATAACAGCGAGCTCTCAGGCTGAGAGCGGGTCTTGTTCTCGTACTGCAAGCTGCAGGAGTTGTACATTGAGTTAATAAATACCTTTGTGTTCCTAACGACTGGTTGCCGTTTGTTCCCACGACAATATGATTAAAAATTGCAGTCCGGCATTGTGACAATGTCGCAATAAATAATTACTTGTTAGATATAAGATTTTTATAGTTTTGAAATAGTTACTTTAGTTTTTCTATAGAATCCTAGTGATTCCATTTGCATTTATTATCACGATGTAACATCGCATGCGAAATTAACAAGTGCAGAATTTTTTAGATAACAAAATGATTATATATAACGTGATATAATTAAAAATGACAAGATGAACTGAAATTCAGATGCTCTTAATTGTTAGTTTCTCATCATTAAAAAAACTAGTTCATCTGTTTTTATGGTATCAAGAATTGAATATATATTGGACTTGATATTACCAAGTGCATAGACGAATCAAATTTGTTGAGATTTTAAATAAGAATGGTTTATTTTTCATGAGAAATTTCGTATGTTAGTAGGAATTGCGTTTGGAGCATACTACATTTTCCCAAATGATCCATGAAACGAAAATAATGCTATTAATAATCTTAAACTATTGTATTTTTTTTACCCAAACAAAAACATCTGAGATGTAAAAAAATTGCTTCAAGTAAAAATTATGACATTTTAGATGACAGTCGGAATTTTTTTTCTTTGATAAAGATAATTTGGCGCTTCAAAGCGAAATGTAGGAAAGAATAATAAAAAATACTGTGGGTATCGCTTGGAAACGCCAAGCTTATCTTTACCAAAGAAAAACTCCTAAGAAAAAAAAATTGACTGTTATCCGAGTTACTATAATAATTTTACTTGGCACAATTTTTTATATCTTAGATATTTTTGTTCGGATAGCCTTCTCCCAAAGGAAATCTGTCTAAAAAAATCGATTTATATCAAAATTAATCCAAATTCGTACTATGTGTACTGTTTTACGATAAATAAAATTGCATTACGTTTAGACCGGTATGTATGCTTATGAGCAATTTTTATTTTAAATTACAAATTTATTTTCAGTTTTTATAAATATTTTATATCTGTAGAACGGCTTGACCAAACTGAACAACTGCCAACTCGAAATACTCGTATTCACATACAGGTAACCCCCGTATAACACGGCACTTCTATAGCACGGATTCACTCTAACACGGTTCGAGAATTGGTACCATCCCCCGTATAACACGGCACTTCTATAGCACGGATTCACTCTAACACGGTTCGAGAATTGGGAACATTCCCCGTATAACACGGTGCTTTTATAGCACGGGTTCACTCTAACACGGTTCGGGAATTGGGTAAAACCCTCGTACAACGTAAAATGTAATAAAGGGTGCGTTTTTTTTTATACGTCTGCGTAACTCCGCGCGAGCATTCTAATTGTTTTGTGGCTACTTTGAATGCTCTTTCAACAAATAATCCATTTAATAGCGGCCGCTCTGCAAAGGGAGTGGGCTGCTGTTTATAGGCATTTAG